AAATCATTAACAAAAATATAAATATGTGGAAATTAAGAAATATACTTCTACATTAGGCACGTGTCAAAAGAAATGTCAAAATGAAAATTAGAAAATGAATTATACTAAAATAAGCCAACTATCAAAACTTGTGGGATGAAAGTAAACTAGAATTCAGAGAAACAAATGAAAGAGAAAAGAATATAAAAAGTATCAACAAAACAAAAAGTTGGTTTTATAAAGACTAATAAACTTTATAATAATCTGGTGACATTCATCAAGAAAAAATGAGAGCATACTTAAAACAACCATCTCGGGAACGAGTAGGTTGACAGCCCAATCAGTGTTCCAGAGATGCAGAGAAAATAAAAGGATATTACACATTTGTGAACTATGTTCCACCTCCTTTTGTGTACTTAGGAGTTTCTCTACATCAGTTCTTCCCTCTTCACTATATCATCAATTTTCTTTCTACTGGATTATTACCATTAGCATACAAATATGCTCTTGTTTCTCTGATCTTAAGAAAAAAAATTTCTTTTTATTTTTCCAGGAATCTCTATACATTTTTCCATAGTGACTGTACCAATTTACATTCCACCAACAGTTCACAAGGGTTCCCTTTTCTCCAAATCCTTGCCAAGACTAGTTATCTCTTGTCTTTTTGATGATAACCATTCTAACAGGTGTGAGGTGATATCTCATTGTGATTTTGATTTACATTTCCCTGAGTATTAGAGATATTTATCATCTTTGTTTGGAAAAAAGTCTATTCAAGTCCTTTGCCCATATTTTAATTGAATTATTTGTTTTTTTGCTATTGAGTTGTATGGGTTCCTTATATATTTTGGATATTAATCCTTTATCAGATATATGGTTTGCAAATACGTGCTCCCATTCTGTAGGTTGCCTTTTCATTTTGTTGTGTTTTGGGGGGTTTTATTTTTCAGGATTTTTTGGTGTTTTTTGCTGTGAAGCAGTTTTTTAGTTTGATGCAGACCTACTTATTTATTTTTTGCTTTTGTGGGTTGTGCTTTTGGTATTAGACCCAAAAAATCATTGCCAAGACTGATGTCAAGGACATTTTTTCCTATGTTTTCTTCTAGGACTTTTACAGTGTCAGGTCTTACACTGAAATCTTTAATCTATTTCAAGTTAATTTTTGTGAGTGGTGTAAGATAGTCTTCCAGTTTCATTCTTTTGCATGTGGATATCCAGTTTTCCCAGAACTATTTATTGAAGAGACTATCCTTTCTCTACTGAGTATTCTTGGCTCCCTTGTCAAATATTAGTCAATCATATATTTGTGGGTTTCTTTCTCAGCTCTCAATTCAGGTCCATTGGTCTATGCGTCTGTTTTTATGGTATCACCAAACTGTTTTGATTACTATCATTCTGTAATATAGTTTGATATCAGGAAGTGTTATGTCTCTAGCTTTGTTCTTCTTTCTCAAGATTGCTTTGGCTATTTTGGGTCTTTTGGGTACCATATGAATTTTAGGATTTTTAAAAATATTTCTGTGAAAATGTCATTGAAATTTTGATAAGAATTACATTGAATCTATAGATGGCACTGGTTGTATGGACATTTTAACAATATTAATTTTCCCAGTCCATGAACATGGATATCTTTCCATTTATTAGTGTCTTCAATGTTATATAGTTTTCAGGGTTTCTAGCTTCACTACTTCTATTCGATATAGTACTGGAGGTCCCAGCTAGAGCAATTAGGAAGAAAAGAAATGAAAGGTGTTCAAATCAGAAAGGAAGAAGTAAAATTGTCTCTGTTTAAAAATGACATGACTTTATATATATACACACACATATATATGTATATATAGACAGATCTTACACTGCCTTGGTTAAATTTATTCCTAAGTATTTTATTGTTTTTTATGCTATTGCAAGTAGGATTGCTTTCTTTATTTATTTTCAGTTGATTTGGCATTAGTGTATAGAAATGCTACCGATTTTTACATGTCAATTGTGTATCCTACCACTTCACTGAATTTGGTGATTATAACCTACAGTTTTTTGGTGGAGCTGTTAGGATTTTCTATATATAAATCATGTCATTTTTAAATAGAGACAATTTTACTTCTTCCTTTCTGATCTGAACACCTTTTATTTCTTTTCCTGCTAATTGCTCTAGCTAGGACCTCCAGTACTATATTGAATGGAAGTAGTGACAGTAGAAACTCTTGCCTTTTTTCTGATCTAGAGGGAAATTTTTCAACCATTCACTATAGAATATAATGTTAGTTGTGGGTTTGTCATATATTGCCTTTATTACATTCAGATATATCCCTTTTATACCCAGTTTATTGAGTGTTTTACATGAAACCAGGTTGAATTTTGTCAAATGCTTTTTCTGCATCTATTGAGATAATCATATTATTTCTATCTTTCCTTCTATTAATTTTATGTGTCACATTTACTGATTTGGGTATGTTGAACCATCCTTGCATCCCAGGGAAAAGTCCCTCTTAATCGTGGTGTATGATCCTATTAATGTGCTGTTAAATTCAGCTTGCTAGTATGTGTTGAGAATTTTTGCATTTACCTTCATCAGGGATGTTGGCCTGTAGTTTTCTTTTCTCAGTGTTCTTATCTGGCTTTGTTATCAGGGTAATGCTGGCCTCTTCAAATGAGTTTAGGAATGTTCCCTACCCTTCAATTTTTCAGAAGAGCAGAGAAGAATTAACATTAATTCTTCTTTCAATGTTTCATAGAATTCACTGGTGAAGACATTTAGTACTTTGATTTTCTTTGTTGGGAGGTTTTTAATTACTGATTCCATCTCATTCTTTATTATTATACTCTCACTCCTTGTTTGGATTTCTGTTTCTTCATGACTCAGACTTAATACATTGTATATTTCTAGGAATTTATCCATTTCTTCTAGCTTTCCAAACTGTTGGCTTATAATTGTTCACAGTAGTCTCTTATGATCTTTTGTCTTTCTATAGTATCAATTGTAATGTCTCCTCTTTCATTTGTAATTTTATTTATTTGAATTCATTTCCTTTTTTTGGTAAGTATAGCTAAAAGTTTGCTAATTTTGTTTATATCTTAAAAAAAAACTTAGCATTGTTGACGATTTCTATTGTTTTTCTTTCCTCTATTTCATTTATTTCTGACATCCTGGATCCAGGCGTCTGGGATGCCAAAACAGGGGTATGTGGCAGCTTTGGGTCTGAGGGGATTTGGTGACTGGTTGGCTGAGGCCACTGAGGTGCACAGAAAATAATGGGAGAAATAATGATCTGGACACAATGACAAATTTTCAGCTTCTAACACCCTTTTCTTCTTAAATACAATTGAAAAGATCATTTAGAATGTCCACAAATTTACTTTTTCTTCTGACTGATATACTCTATGACTAAAATATCTTTGTCCATTGAGTTAGGTAGATCTTATCTAAATTTGGAGAAACAAAATAACTTCTGCTTCTTTCTGAGTTGACCGAAACATGAAGAAATTGAAAGATTTAGGGGCTGGCCCTGTGGCCGAGTGGTTAAGTTCGCGCGCTCTGCTGCAGGCGGCCCAGTGTTTCGTTGGTTCGAATCCTGGGCGCAGACATGGCACTGCTCATCAAACCACGCTGAGGCAGCGTCCCACATGCCACAACTAGAAGGATCCACAACGAAGAATATACAACTATGTACCGGGGGGCTTTGGGGAGAAAAAAGGAAAAAATAAAGTCTTTAAAAAAAAAAGAAATTGAAAGATTTATATTAGTTTAAGATAGGCTAGTACCACAACTGAGTATCCACATTATCTTTTTTCCTGAAAGCTACACACTTACCCTTATCTAAATGAATAGAAGAAAAGAAGGCAGTGAATTAGGTAAAGCACCTAATATTTTAAAAGAAGAATGACCATATGCATTCTTAAGGGAGCTGAAGGGAGGCAGCATCAGATATGTGAACCTGTAAGTTTACCACGGCCTACAAGCTGTACATTATCTTATCCTGTTTTATCGCACCTCATTTCTTATCAAACTTGTTTTCTTTCCAATATACTCCATCTACACAAGTCTTTCTGCCCTTCAAGTAAACTAAGCAAGGGACCTTGCTCCTATATTCTGCGTGCCTATAATGCTATCACATGGATATTTCTTTGTGTTTTTCATTCTCATCATTCAGATCTCAGTTAAAATGCTGCATCCTCAGAAAGTCTTTTCTGTCCATTTTATCAATTCCATCCTCCAGACTATATCTGGTCTATCATCATATTACTTTTTCTAAACAATTACCACTTTCTCAAATTATATTATCAATCTATTTTTGCATAGTCAGATTTTGTTTCCTGAATATATGTCCTGTGAGAATAAGAAATATTTCTACCATTTTCACTGTTATATTATTGGTACAAAGAAAACTGCATGCTGAATAGAAAGCAATCAGTAAATATTTGTTAAAGATCCATACAAACGAATAAAATAATGAAGAAATGGGTGTATTTAAAACATATATTTTGTCCATTGCCTTGCTTCAACATTTAGCAAATTTCTTTTTTTTTGAGGAAGATTTTGCCCTGAGCTAACATCCACTGCAAATCTTCCTCTTCTTTTCGCTTGAGTAAGATTAGCCCTGAGCTAACATCTGTGCCAATCTTCGTCTACTTTGTATGTGGGATGCCTCCACAGCATGGCGGATGAGTGGAGTAGGTCCGCACCCAGAATTTGAACCTGTGAACTTGGGCCACTGAAGCAGAGTGTGAAGAACTTTAACCACTCAGGAAACAGGGCCAGACCCACCAGCATTCTTGTTGAAGCTTAAATTAGCCATTCCACGAACTTATAAGAAAAGGAAGGAGGGGTTTGTTAACACTTGGGTTTTTGGGTATAAAGGAAAGACAGTGAACATGATGAAAAAATTAAATAGATCTTTTGTCCGGCTTCTTTTCTCCACATAGAAATGCTCATACCAGAACTCTCTGTTCTCACACTTAAGAGTGTTTATAATTTTACATTCTACTCATGGACTAATTATCCCATGGACTCTCTTCTTCTGCAGTAAGAGGTGGTTTGGCTTCTTCTGAGAACCATTGTCTCAATGTGTCTGGCATTTGCAGAAGAGACATCTGCAAAAGGATGGAAGACCTGCTTGGTAACTGCCGAAGAAGGTGGAAATGCTGTAGACCATGGTGGATTCTCATGCCAGTTCCAACCCCAATTATCTATTCAGACTACCAACCACCGTTTAAGCCTAAATTGAAATGAAACTAGGAAAAGCATCAAAAGGAAAGTTCTTTGCATCTAAAAACATTAGAATATACATGTTAAACACTTCAGCTTTATTACCAACTTCTATTATCCCTTGTCAAGAAAAATAAATAAATATTGATTTCAAACTTACATGGATACTACCTCTTTTTGACTCATTTTCAGATCTAAACAATCTCTTTAAAAGTGAGAAAGTCCATTTATTTAACAAAAGTTCTTTTTTAATTTGTCACAGAAAGACCAAAAGATTAACAAAAAAGTTGCAAAGATGAAGACGTAATTATAAAAACATAAGTAAATAGACACACAGACAGTACCAAGAAAATGGAAAGGCAAAATATAGAAGAAATCCAGAAAATATCAGGGAGGGGAAGAAATGTCGATAGAGATAGGAGAGAAAATTGGAACGGGGCAAGAGGTAATAATTTGGTGTAATACATAAAAATTGTAACTGTATGGCAGGTAATTGGAAAGAGATGAAAATAAGAAAAGAGAGAGATTGAGAGGTTGAAGATCAACAGAAGTGTATATTAAGTACTCTAAAAGATAAAACTTCAACTAACAAAGAGATTTTCATGTTTTACTTCTATGAAGAAACACTGTGATTGTTTAGAGATTCTCAATATTTCACTCCTGTAGACAAATAATTCCCTTTAATAGAACCTAACCATCTTACCGTAAAAATGTAGCAACTTCTTTCAAGAGTATGCTGTCAACACCCCTTTTAAACAGACTTTTCAATGCTTCATAACTTCCGACAAGTTCATTTTCTATCCTAGTGTCATAAGGTCTCACTTTCCTTTCCTGAATGTCACACGACTTTAGCTCAGCTATATACCTGTGGAAACTAATAAACAGAAACCTAATTAAACGGGACTTGAGAGGGTGAAAGGAGCAGCTCTTTTGCCCTACAACAATTGCAGAGCCCCAAGAGGAAAAAGAGATTTCCTGTTCTTGACTGGCAAGAACTTCAGCCAATGAGAGACTGTCACAACTGAGCCAATGAAAAAGCCACTTCGCTTTGAACTCTCTATTCTTCCAACGGACTCTTTGTTTACAGCAGCCCTCTCAACTTCGTCTTCCTTTCTGTAAAACAGCTTTTCCTTCCTTTGCTGCAGGGGTCTGCAGACCTCGAATTACAATTCGACTAGGCTCATGCCTAGTACACCCATTTTTGGTTGAGGAATAACTGGCTGTTTATTTGTTTAAAGTCACAAATCCAAAGTAGTTCTTAGAGGAAGTTTTAGTTTTCACTCGTATAAAATTTTGATGATTAAAGAAATGTGATTTGGTAGTGAGGACTCCTTCCTTCCTATAATGCAACATTTATGAAGTCTTTTTTTTTTTCTTTTAATTCTCTGAGCATGGACATTTTCTGCAATAATTTGGTATAGTCTTGACTAGATGTAGGGCAGAATTGACCTTAAAACAGTGATGGTATACTGTAGGTCAGGAACTAAGTATGTTAATGGTGAGAGAGCTTGATGATTTTCTTTCATTTCTTCCTCCTTATTTCCTCTCCGTTATCTGGGGATAAAATAGATAAGCACCACGCCTGAGTTGCATTCAGTTTGCAAAGACTAAGTCTTGTGAGGGTAGAGATGATAAACTGAGCCTCTCTACCCAGTCAATCTAGCCCTATATTACTTATCCATAACCGGACTCCACAAAATTAGGTGCACAATAGTTGTTCCTCAACTAGACTAACTTCTTGTGAGTGCTCCTGAGTCTAAGAGTTCAGAAGATACCCTTAATGTGGCTTAGTTCATTTAAAATTATATGGCACCTATTATCTATAATTTGGAATTGACATGCCCTAGATGACCCAAAACTGCCTGCTCACCTCATTTATCTTGGAACTATGATGTCTTATATGACTAAGGGAAAAACCTGAAAAACTGTTATCCTAATGATATGGAATCATAGTTTTGGGAGGGAAAGAAGGATTACAAGAGAGAGACAAAACCTTGACAGACACAAAAGAAAGATTCAAAAACCTTGAAACAACAGCTTTGGCCATATCACAACCGCCATCAAAGCAACATGAGCAGACTCTGTGTAGTCCCCAGGAAAAGTAACCTGGTGGTGTGTTCCAAAAAGCTGCTGGACACACTGGTGTATTCGTCACAGTTTTTATCAGTTTTCTCTTGCTGACTTCAGAATAATCTCTTTACTCATGGGTGTCCCCCTGTCTCCATATAAATATCTTTTAGCTAGTCATGTACAATAATAAATTCCTTTTTCCTTTGGCAGCTTTCATCTTTTTTAATCAAAATGTCTTTCTGATGCTTAATTTGTACCACACTTCCACACTCTGTCTAAATCTCCCTGATTGTGGACATGCCATACTTGGCTTGGTAATTCACTATGTTGACTAACTTCAATGAGAGAGATTCCAAGTGCACATGTGTGTTACAGGTTTCCAACCCTTTTGTTTAACTCTAAATACTATAATAGGGATATCTGAACTAGAGGGGATCATTATAATATTCCTGGAAGCAAGATAGCATAATAGGAGGTCCCAGACCTCATCTTCCCACAGAAATTATAATTTAACAATCACCCATGGATAAAAATACCTTTATGAGAGCTCTGGAGTGCAGTCAACAAACTGTAGCCCACTAGTGTAGCACAAAATCTGAGAACAGCCATATGGAATAGCTTAAGAATAATAGTTTCACTCTACCCAAGTCATCCCTCCTCCAATGTGGTATAGCTCAGCACCAAAAGAGAATCCCTTGGCCTTCGACTTCTCTCACTTTTTCCAAAAAGAAAGTGAAGTGAGTGTCCAGCTTCTACAGGATTTAGGGGCTGCAGACCCCACTGGCCAGCCCACTCAGGAACCCTAGCAGCTGACCACCCATAGACCCTGGCAGCCAGCCTGGGCATATCCACACAGATGGTCCCCTGCATACCCCCAAAGACAGCTTATGGATCTCAGCAGCTGGTTTGACTTTGTTAGGACTGGTAAAACATGAATAACTCCAAGACTTCTACTTCAGGAGAATGGAGAGTAGTGGAGCTTGTGCCCAACTTTCTGGCAAATCAGTCCACTGTCCTAGGGAAAAGGAGTAGGTGATTCTCAGCATTCAGCTCAGTGGGGTAGGCTTGAGGATAATCTTTGGCTCCAAAGTCTGCCCTCCACACCTCAGAGCTAAGTCAGTAGCCTCATCCAGAAATAGACCATGATAGCACAACATATCTTCCCAGGGATGCTACCAGCTGATGCATCCGGAAAGCCAAGCTGAGCTGACTGGTGAAGAACTGCCTTTACCAAAGTGAGCCTCTTAAAGTCTGGAAAAGGAGAACACTTACTCAAATGTACAGAAACCAATGTTAAGAATCAAAGATCATGAAAAATCAGGTACATGACACCACTAAAGGAAACAAATAAAACTCCTATAACCAACTCTCAGGAAATGGAGACCTATGAACTGCCAGACAAAGAATTCAGAATAATTCTCTTAAAGAAGTCTACTGAATTATGAGAAAACACAGATAGACAACTAAAAAAAATTATAAAAACAATGCATAAATAAAACAAGATGTTCAATGAAGAAATAGAAACCATCAAAAAAACAAATGCAGAAATCCTATCATACATCATAGTCAAGTGGGATTTATTCCAGGGATGCAGGATTGTTCAACATCCACAAATAAATCAATGTGACACACCACATTAAAAAGATAAAGAATAAAAATCACATGACAAGATCCAACAATCATGTATGATAAAAACTCTCAATAAAGTGGGTATAGAAGGAAAATACCTTAAGATAATAAAGGTCATATAGGACAAACTCACAGCCAACATCATACTCAATGGTGAAAAGCTGCAAGCCATTCCTCTGAGAAAAGGCACAAGACAAGGATGTCCACTCTCACCACTCTTATCTAACACAGTACTGGAAGTATTAGCCAGAGCAATTAGGCAAGAAAAAAAAATAAAACGGATACAAATTGGAAAGGAAGGAGTAAAACTTTCATTATTTATGGATGGAATGATTCTATATATAGAAAACTCTAAAGAATCCACCAAAAAACTATTAGAAATAATTAACAAATACAGTAAATTTGCAGGGTACAAAATTGACGTACAAAAATCAGTTGCATTTCTATACACTAATAATGATCTAGCAGAAAGAGAAGTCAAGAATGTAATCCGATTTACAATCCCCCAAAAAAGAATAAAATAACTAGGGATAAATTTAACCAAGGGGATAAAAGATCCATACACTGAAAACTATAAGACATTATTGAAAGAAATTGAAGAAGACATAAATAAATTCCATTCTCATGGATAGGAAGAAATAGTTAAAATGTCCATATTACCTAATGCACCCTACAGATTCAATGCAATCCCAATCAGAATCCCAATGACGATCTTCACAGAAATAGAACAAAGAGTCCTAAAATTTGTGTGGAACAACAAGAGATCCTGAATAGCCAAAAAATTTCTTAGAAAAAAGAGCAAAGTTGGAGGTATCACACTCCCTGAATTCAAATTATACTACAAACCTATAGTAATCAAAACAGCATGGTACTGGCAGAAAAACAAACACACAGATCAATGGAACCGAATTGAGAGCCTAGGAAGAAAAACACACATCTCTGGGTAACTAATCTTTGACAGAGTCAAAAATATACAACGGGAAAAGAAAGATCTCCTCAATAGATTGTGTTGGAAAACTTGACAGCCACATGCAAAAGAATGAAACTAGACCATTATCTTACACCATATACAAAAATTAACTCAAAATGGATTAGAGACTTGAATGTAAGACCTAAAACCATAAAACTCTTGGAAAAACATATCGGCAGTACACTTTTTGACATCAATCTTAGCAGTATCTTTTCAATTACCATGTGTACTCAGGCAAGGGAAACAAAAAAAATAAACAAATGGGATTACATCAATCTTAAAAAGCTTCTGCACAGCAAAAGAAATCATCAACAAAAGGAAAAGACAACCCAGCAATTGGGAGAAAATATTTGCA